CGCGGCAGCAGCCCCCGCCTCGCCCCGCCTCTGCTGCAGCTGCCGGCCTCCCGACGCCGTCGCGGGGCGCGACCGGCGGCGCCCCCGGCCCCCCGCTGCGCGCGCCCGGCCGCACCTCATCATGCCCAGACCTGACAGCGGCGGCGGCGCCGGGCCCGCAGCCGCTTCTCCGCTCCCCGTCCGCCGCGGTCGCCGCGCGCTTCGTGGACGAGTTTGGGGACAGCGACCTGGAAGACGAGGAGGCGTTTGACTACGAGCGGGCGTACCCGACTGGCTCGCGGGTCGATCGTGATGGCGGAGGGGCGGCAGGCCAGGTGGCACCTGGCGGCGGCGGCGGCGGCGGCGCAGACAGGTCGGCCGCGGCGCGCCGCGCGACGGAGCGGCTCGCCCCGCTGGCGGCGCTGCCTCGGGCGCTGCTCGGGCGCCTGTCGGCGCTGCATGGCCGTGCGGCGCCGGTTGGCGGGGCGCGGGCGGCCGCGGGCGGGGCGCACACGCCATCCCAGGGTCACCTGGACGGCCGCGGGCCTCGGCTGATGTGCACGCCCCAGCCCCTGTCGCAGCCGCCGCTGCCCGCGCAGCGCCGCAGCGGCGTGCGGCCGGAGGCCCTGGCGCCGCCGCCGTCGCGGCCCGCCGTCGCGGCCGCCAGGGGCGGAGAAACCTATGCTGACGAGGCGCATGGCGGCGCGCGCGGCGGCGGTGGACCCGGGGCTCTCGAGCAGGCCGTCGGAGAGCTGGGCGCAGACCCGGCTGGGTCCTCGGAGGCGCTGCAGCGCACGCAGTCCCAGCGCGACGCTCGCGAGCGCCGCCGCGCCGCGACGCTCGCGCACCTGCGTGGGCGGCCGCGCGCGTCGGCGGCGGGGCAGCTCGCGGCGCTGCTGCCGCGGGCGCTTTTGAAGCAGCGGCGGCAGTGGACGTGGATGGGGGCGCCGCAGCCGCTGCTAGATCTACTGTTAGTGCTCGGGGCCGGCCTCATCGTCGGGGCCATCCACTCTGGCGGCTACGACGTGCGGGCGGCGCCGCAACAGGTGCGGCCGCGGCGGTGCGCAGCGGCGCAACGTGCGACCTTGCCGCGCTACTGCCCGGGCAACCTGTGCGGCTGCTGTGTTGCAGCGCCAGCCATGAGTTTCTTGGGCCTCAAACAGCAATTTCAGAGCGCGAGGTGCATATTGCCCGCGGTGCCCCGACCTATATGACCTCTCATCGCCTCCCGCACCCAGACCGCCCCACCCCACCCCACCCCACCCCATCCCACTCCCCAGGCCCTCATGGCCATGACTACCCTCGGCGTCCTCGTCACCATCGTCGCCCTCCGCCCCCTCTCCAGCACCCACGCGCGCGCGCTCCTCGCCCGCGAGTGCGCCGGCGGCGCGCGCCCGGGCCCGCAGCTCGCCGCGCTCTGCATGGCCGCGCTGCCGGCCGTCGCGCTGCTGCCCGCCGCCTTCCTTGCCGGATACTACTACACGGCGCTCCCAGAGGCTCCCGTCGGAGATTGGTATGCCGCAGCCCTCGGCGTGTCCTGGTGGGCCAGCGGCCTGGCGCTCCTCGTCGGCGCGCTCGCGCCCGCGCGCGCGTCGCTCGTCGCGGGCGTGTTTGTCGCGCTCATGTTCGGGGCGTTCTTCAACGGCACGCACCCGACGCTCGCCGCTGCGCGGGGCGGCGGCGGCGGCGGCGGCGGCGGCGGCGGCGCGCCGACGGCGCTGACCGCCGCGCTGGCGTGCAGCTACAACCGGTGGGCGATGGAGGCCCTCGCGCTGTCGGAGTTCCGCCAGTGGGGCGCCGCGCGCGCGCGCGCCGCGCTGTCGGCCGCGCGCGGCCTCGGGCTGTGCCGCCTGGATGTGCTGCTGCCCGACAACGGGGACGGCCGCCTGAGCGCGGCCGAGGCCGCGGCGGCCGCGCGCCTCCAGGCGGAGTGGTCGCCGGCTTTCTGCGATGGCGCTAGGGCCGCGGCGCTGGGGGCGCTCGCGGCGGGGGGCGCGGCGCTGCGGCTGCTCGCGTGGGGCGCGCTGCGGGTGACGCACGGGCTGCCGTATTGGAGCCAATCGTGATGTGGGTGGCTGCAAGGCGGCACGAGCTTGCCAACCGCTTGGCGTGATCAGTCCTCCTCAATGCATGTGTGCGCGACCCTCTGATTGCTTTACTGCTTCACTGACCAAAGCATTGCTCACCCAACAAGGGCTGTCGCAACACGCACCCAGCTGCCGTGCTGCTAATCACGGCTGTAGACCACGTTGTGCTGGCAGCTGGGGCTGCGTGGTTGCCAGCGCATGGCAGTCAATGTGTTTGCAGTCTCGGGTTTTGAGGCAGCATGCCAGCGCCCAATGATTTCGGTGCTGTGTGCGCGGCTTGGCGGTTGTCCTCACGCATTTTCATCGCTCCCACGTTGGCGTCAGGCTTATCTGTCTCATCGCCTGCACCCCTTCCATTGCCCACACCTCGCTCGGTCGTTCGAGGCTGAGATTTGCTGCCGGCCTTCACTGCGGTTCCAGCCCACGGGCGTTGATTTTTCCGAGGCTGGATCACAGCTTCCTGGGGATGCCAGTTGATGACTGTGGCGACATTTCCGAACCGATTATGCGCCGTCAGACAGCCTCTATGTCTGCGGCCGCGTGCCCTTGCACGGGCTGGAAAGGGGCAGCACCAAACACTGCCACAGCGGCGCCGTGACTGTGTCGCCATCTTGCGGCCTGGACACACGATTTACACCCCGTTGCCACAGTGAATTGTTGTTGGTACGGACTTGGCGAGCTGCACTGTCACCCATTGCCCATGAAAGGGTGCTGCATGAGAGCCAAATCAGGCGAGCCAGCCTGTGGGGGTTGTGTCCTCTGTCGCCGCCAAAACGAGGCTGTGGCAGCAGCACACCCATGCCAAGCGCAGCTCTCTTGGGCCCCAGCAGCCTGAGCAACCTCCCCTCCAAATGTTGATTAAATGCCCAATGATTTAGTCGTAGGCCGACACAATAAGTTCCTTGCAACTCTGCAGTTTTGCTGCCTTGATATGGGTTGTGTTCATGCCATCCAAATGAAGGCACGTGATGGCACAGGCAGTTTCAAGCTCTTGATTGAGTGATGCCTGAGATGCATGGATCACGGATTGTGTTTGCTTAGTTTATTGTCAGTGAGAAGTGACGCACCCCCAACCCTGCCTGTACGTACCCTATCAGTGTGCATGTGACGATCACCTACCTCAAGCAGCCACAACAGTGTCACCAGCAAACACGGGGCGGACAGCGGGTGGTGGTTGAGCGCGCCGCGTCCTGCTGTATGCATCCAAAGGGTGAGCACCGAGCTGAGATCCTGCTAAATCAAGTGCCCAGCGCCACCCCTCGTCCAGACTCCAACCCGCGGAACTGGGTTCATCCGCACGGGTTGTTTTGGCTAGTGCGTCCTTGTTGCTCTTGCCGCGGCTCGCTCATACCTCTCGGTCACCAGGCAACGTCGGCCGCTGCACGGTATGCCAGGCAATGGCCCCTGGGCAGGCACCAGTGCCGCGTTTTCTCCTTGAGCGTGGCGTTGGCAGGAGGACCGGTGGTGTCGCGCCCTTGCGTGCGCGTGCTGCTGGACTCCCGTCAAACCTGGCCATCGGCGGCGAGGGCGCATGTGTGCCTAGGGCCTGTCGCGTTGGGGCACATCACTGGGAGAGATGCAGCTTTCCAAGTGGCAATTGAAGGCAACCGCACAACACTTCACAGCAAGGTGTTTACGAAGGACCGCAGCCACTGCACTGTTCTTGCATGTGGTCACAAATGGCAGGGCCAAGAGCACGTGCACAACGCGCGAAGCGGCGAGCAGCGGCAAGCGGCGGCCTCCTCATCCCCTGATCCCCGGCACGCATGTTGCGCTGGGCGGCTGTGCCCGATTGAGTTGACCTGGCAGGGGGTTGTGATGGTGCGGTGCCACAGCGGCCGTCGCCACATTGTCCGTGTGATGTTTCAAAGCTTCACCTATATCAACATACTCAGGGCCTGAATTGCTCGACGTTGCGAGATCGCGGCGGCAACAGACACATTATACTGTATATAAATTGTGACAAGTTTGAAAGTAATACAGCACGATTGATGAGGCTTGTGCCATCCGTCAAGGCGCCCGCTTGGCCACAGCCTGGTGGCGCGTTCCATGTCTGCGCTAGCAGTCGCCGCCGCCGCCGCACGTGCCCGGCCCTCGCTGCGGCCCTGCCATTGCTAGCTACCAGCACCGCCAGCGCCAAGCCACAGGAGAGCCACCGCTTGAAGTTGGTGGGTATCACTGCTAACTCGCTGCTCTGCTTGCGGATGCGTTGAAGGCCATGGCGGCTGTCGTGCCTCGGTGACCGAGTGACGCGCCGACACCCCACGTGTACAGCTCAATGCCACCTGCCACGCCTGAGTAGCATCGTCCACCCTCAGCAACCCTAACCCCCCACTCAGACTGTGGCGTATGATGGCTCTGAATTTGCCGGGTTCCAGTGGCAGGCAGGCCAGGCAAGCCCAGGAGGGCGAGGGGCGCCGCGCATGGTGACCGAACCGCACAGAGCAGCCGCATGCGAGCGGCCCGGACTCGCCCAAGGGTAGCCGATCCGCATGCGCGCGCCTAGACTGCCTCCATGCGATGCTCCGCGGCGCCGCATGGCGCAGTGCGGGCCCCAGGGTCCCCGATCGCCCGCGTGCGCGCGCCACTGCATGCTGCGCGGCGCTGCAAGCAGGTGCGCACCGTTCAGGGAGAGCTGGAGAAGGCAGTGTCGCGCGTGCTCATGCCGGCATCTAGGTGCGTCGGCGCGAGCCGCACCGACGGCGGCGCGCACGCTCTCGGGCAGGTGAGGGCGCGCCCTGAGGGGCAGGAAAGGAGGGCGGCGAGGAGCCCAGATACGACCAGCGCCGCCCATAGCGGGCGCTTCAGGAGCCCGTGGGCTCATCGGCTTGGGCTACTCTTACTGCGTGGACGCATTGTATATGGACACCGGCTTAGAAACTTTGCGGCAGCGTCCCTTGCGTCCCCTCGTTGCGGCCCTCATGCCGCACGCCAACCCTTGCGAAGCGCCCCTCCTGACAGCGCTCGACCCGCCCCGCCCCCACGCGCGCGCGACCTCGCACGCAGATCGTTCATTTGGACGCCTATGGCTCACGAGACTCCTTTGAGCCCGAGACGCTGCAGCTCTACCTCAACGGGGTGCTCCCAAATGATGTCAAGGCAAGCAGAGGGGACCCTGGATCCAACAAGGCCGTGAGGCGCAGGGCGTGCTTCCTTTTTATGGGCGTCCGTGCGCTCGGGCCGGCTCCCGTCGTAGCGGTGCCGCGCCGCGGCGGCAATGCACGGCCGTGTGTTCTATGGGCGGCGGCGCACTCTCCACTGCGTTTGCCTCCGCCAACCTCGATTATTCAATGCCGCGCCGGCTCTGAAGAGCAGCCCCCCACCACCACCACCACAACTGCTGTCTGCCTTGTCCATGCCTCTCAGGTGCAGTGCATTGAGCTCGCACCAGAGGGTGAGGCGTGGTGGACATTAGTGCTACTGCGCCGAGCGCTCGCAACCTGTCCGCAGCCCCCGGCACGCCAAAACCCCTGCCCTGCAGCGCCATGCGCGCCTGAACCAAAACTTTGGCCGAGCCTGCAGCCCGCGGGCTCCCCTCCTCTGATGCTAACGTTGAATTTGACCCCTCAAACCAAAACGATTTGCGGCTGACGGGTGCGCCCAGGCTTCGACGCCCACTTCAGCAGCTGCGGTAAGGAGTACCATTACCTGATGGGCTGCGGCGCCCCCAGCCCCCGCGACACGCGCCAGCGGTGGTGGGTGCACGACCGGTGGTGCGAGCAATCGAGGGGCAAGCCGCGGAGCCTGGGGGACGTCAAGCTCGATGTGGACGCGATGCGGGAAGCCGCGCAGCAGCTGCAGGTGTGGGGCGCACGCCGCGGCCCGCCCGGGCTGAGGGGCGCGTTCGGCCCGCGCTGCGGCGCGGGATCCGCGGGCGGCTGTGTTGGCGGGGGCTCTGGTCCGTCGTGCAGGACGGTGGGGCGGTCTGCGGCTTTGCAGATCTCTGCTGTGTTTGCTACAACGGTATATAGGTCAGAGATACGCCGATTCTGCGTTGCAGGCATGGCGGCACCTTCACATGGCCAACCAGCCTTCAGCTCATTGGTCAGCACCTCGTTGGTGTGCAAAGTGCAGATGGTTCATGTGCATTGCTGCCCAGCGCCCGCCCCGACGCGGCCCCTCCCAACCCAGGGCGTGCACAACTACTCGGCTTTCATGGACAAGAAGAGGCCCTCAGGTGATGGTCAACCACACCAATGGCACAGCAATCGCACCTGCGGGCGACTCAAAAGAAGTGGTGTTGGGCAGCGCCGTTCCGACCCGCCGGCGGCCGGGCCCCGCGGCTTGCCCATTCCCCAAGAGCCGCGCGCGCCTCACGGTCCCCGGCTGGACCGAGCGCCCTCCCCCCCCCCCAAAGACAGTCACCACCATCCCGCCGCCCCGCGCCGCCGAGCCAGGCCTTGGCAGGCTGAAGCGCAAGAAGCCGCACCTTGTCGAGCGCGGCATCAAGCCGGAGCGCACCTCCGACAAGAACGTGCGACACCTCTGGAAGCTCGATGTGATAGAGGAGCCAGACGCCCCCTGGCCGCCGCCGCCGTACGGCGGGGCGCCGGGCGGCGGGCACGTGCGGGTGGAGGTCGCGGGCAACGGGTTCCTCTACAGGTGGGGCGCCGCGCCCGCCGCCGCGTGGGCGAGGGCGGGGCCTTGGGGGCCGAGACGCCCTTGAGGGCTTAGCTGCTCTGCATTATACCCCGGTCTGTGTGTGTGTGTGTGAAAACGTGTGTGCATGTGCGCATGTGTGTGTGTGTTTGTGTTCGTGTGTGTGTGTGTGTGTGCGTGTGTGTGTGTGTGTGTGTGCGTGTGTGCGCGTGCACGTGTGCTGTAATCAGGGGCCCCCGGCCGCAGGCGGCCGCCCCTCGCGCCGTGGCTGCGGCCCCATGCTCTTCGCGCCGCCCCACGCCGCGGCCCCAAACCCCGTGTTGTTCACATGCGCCCCGGCGCCGCAGGATGGTGCGGATGCTGGTGGCGGCGCTGGTGGAGGTCGGCCACGGGCGGCTGGCGCCCGGCCAGGTGGCGCAGCTCCTCGAGTCCGGCGACCGCGGGCGCCTGCCGGAGGCTGCGCCGCCGCACGGGCTGTACCTGATGAGGGTGCTGTACGAGCTGCCGGAAGGCGTGGAGGCGGTGGCGCGGGGGGGCCGGGGCGGCGGGGGCGCCGTGGAGGAGGGCGGCGGCGGGGGCGGCGGCGCCGGGACAGATGAGGATGGGGAGGAGGAGTGAGGTCAAGACGAGGACCGCTGGACCGCGCTGGCGGTGGGCGCATTGATGTGGAAGCTTTTGCCGACTCCATTCTTGACTTTTCGGTGCCCCATTCACACACCTGCTGTCGGGACGAAACGCGCTTGCAACTGCGCCGCTGCAGCGTCAGCTGCTGACTCCGCACGAGGTTTCACAGGACCGGCTTGGCATCATGCTCGCGTACTTTCACAATCAAGCGCTTGACAAAGCGCTCCACGCACAAGCTCACATCAAGAGGCACCTAGGCCCGCGCATCCGCGCAAAGAGGCCTGCTGCAGGGCTCACAGGGAACCTTCGAACGCCCCAGTGTGGCACGCCAGCACGCCGCGCTGGCTGACCGGAGCCGTTTGCCTGTACTTCACTCGCGAAAGCCTTTCAGGCAGGTGTAACCAGCAGTGAAGGGATTCAGCGACCAACGCCCAATTCACTTGGGCACACCAGTTTTCAAGACGGGTTGTGGGGCAGGGCGCTTCTGGCTGCAGTGCGCCGCCGCAGCTTTGCGGCGGCCAGCGTTCCTTTTCCTTTTGCCGCTGTCAACATCGGCGGCCTCGTTGGCTAGTCACCTTTAGCAGCAGCCTCCCCGCCACAGGAGGGGTCTCAACACTTTGAAACAGCCACATCACTCTAGATTTGCACGGTGTCCTGCAAACGCTGATGCAGCTCAGCACAAAGCAATGTAGGTAAGGCAGAGCGTGCACGCCATGTGTGGGAAAAAGTTGTTGCAGCACACCGAAATAGCATTGATAGATGGTAGGCAGGATTGGTAGTGGATGTGTTTGCGTAGAAGGTTCAGTGGATGTCATGACATGTGTTGTACAGAGGCACCAGACGGCGATGCGTTGTGCACGCGTGTAGTGGGTGTGCCGCTTTTGGCTTCCGTCTCCATGTTCTAACAGCATGATGAACATAACGTATGGAAGCTGGGCGGCGACGGGTGAGGCAAACAGTGCAGGGCTGCCACCTCGGCTGGGGCATTTGACGGCAGCTAACACGGCAAGCGGCGGTACCACAGCGCTCATTAGCTCGTGCGTGACATAATGCTCGTTTACAGGAGAGCTCGATCGCTTGCAAAAGAGTGCATCACAGAGCGTTCCACATGGGAGCAGCTGAGCTCCTCCTGTGAGGGATTTTTCGGGTGACGACGCAGGCTGCCCGAGATCGCTGACACGGGGATTACGGGCTTGATTTTGAGACTGATTACTTGATACATGGAACAACCAATGGTTCCCTTGCGGGGGGACTAGACGGATGAGCGAAGGCGAAGGACGGCCGCGCAGCTGGTCGGCAATGGATGTGGATAGGGAGGCGTTGGATGGAAAGTGGACTGGTAAGAAGAGCGACGCAACCTGGGGCGTGACCAACATGACCAGCATTCCTGCTCGTGCTGCTGGCTGCAGACGGCCGTGTGTGTGTTGCGCGTGTGCCCTTGCCCCGGGCACGCCGCCGAGGCCAAGTGCTGATGCACCAGACATAGCACAAACCTCATGTTCCGCCAGCGCCACCCGCTCGTCGACTGTTGGGAGCCGCAGGCCAGCACACCGCGTCGCGTGCGGGCTCGCGCCGCCGCCTGATCGCGGCTGTCCTCTTGGCGCAGTTCCTCTCCCTGTGCCTGGCCGTCACGGGTGCGTGCCCGATGCTGCACCGCCCATGTCTCGTGCGGGCTGCCGGCTTGCACAGGCGCCAGGCTGGCTCAGTGGCCGGCCCCCTGTCCTCCATAATCAACGCCCGCCGCAGCATCGACCCCCTTACCCCCACCACGACACGGGACGCCCTCCACCCCACCCCACCCCCTCACCGCCAGGCATCTCCTCCGCCGCCCTCGCCGCCGCCGGCGTCGCGCTGCCGACCAGCCAGTCGGTGCTCAACTACGGGCTGCTGGCGCTCGCGTTCGGCGGCGCGCGGCTGGCGCGCGGCGGCGCGCTCGCGCGGCCGTGGTGGTGCTACGCGGCCCTTGCCTTGGTGGATGTCGAGGCAAACTTCCTCGTGGTGAAGGTGCGGCGGCGCAGCAACGGTGCTGAAGCGGCGCCCAGGCTGCCCTGCGCGCTGGGGATACATACGTGTGCGCGCGCCCGGCTGCGCTCGTCTCTGCCCTTGCTACGTGAGCCGGGGCTCGTGGCGTGGTATGCGCCTTGCTCGGCCCCTGCCGCGGCACACCCTCTCAATCCTTCAGGGAAACCCAGCCCCCGGCCCCGCCCTCCGCCTCCTCCGGCCGCATGCAGGCCTATCAATACACAAGCCTCACGTCCGTCACACTTCTCGACTGCTTCACCATCCCCGCTGTCATCGCGCTCTCCTATTTCGTCCTCTCTGCCCGCTACCGCCCCCGCCACTACGTGGCCGCGGGCGTGTGCGTCGCTGGCCTCGCGCTGCTGGTGGCGAGCGAGGGCGTGAGCAGCACGGCGGGGCCGGCGCCGCTGCTGGGGGACGCGTTGGTGGTGGCGGGCGCGCTGCTGTACGCTGTCAGCAATGTTACGCAGGTGTGTATGCGGTGGGGAATGCCGCGTGTGCTGCCTGGACACCGGGGGAGCTGCTACTGCCTGAAATAATTTTGCAGCAGCCGAGGCTTACAGCGCTGCAGCTTCCGCGGTAGTGATTGCGCCCGCCGATGCCAGGGCCGGCCGCCGTTGTTCCAAGGGGGCCCCTCGGGGCGTTCTGCTCAATAACGGCGTGCTGCTTTCGCTCGCCTGTGGCGCCCGCCCGTGGCCACGGGCCAGCCTTCAAACACACTGCTTGTCGTCCCCACTGCCAAGCTGCCCGCCCCCAACTTGCATCTCACAGGAGCTGTTCCTTGGGGCCGCCTCCACAGCTGAGGTGTTGGGCATGGTCGGCGCCTTCGGCGCACTCATCGCCGCGGCGCAGGCTGCCCTGCTCGAGCGTGGCGCGTGGGCCGCGCTGCTCGCGCCCGACGCCGGCGGCGCGGGCGGCGCCGGGCAGGCGGAGGGACGGCACGCGTTGGTGCAGTCTGTGGGCGTCGCGTTTGGCGCCTTCACCGCGGCACTGTTCGCCTTCTCGTCGCTCGTGCCGGTGGTGCTGGTCTGGGGCGGCGCGACGGCCCTCAACCTGTCGCTGCTGACGTCAGACATGTGGGCGGCCGCCGCGCGCGTGCTGCTGTTCGGCGGCTTCGGCGGCGCCGGCGGGTGGTTCGCGGCGTCGCTCGCGCTCGTCGCGGCGGGGCTCGTGCTGTACGCGTCTGCAGGCAGCGCCAAGGCGGACGACGGGCGCGGTGCAGCCGGCGACGGCGGCGCGTCGGCGCTGCATGCGAGTGCGCGCGGCTTCGAGGCCGTCCCTGTTGCTGACGAGGACGACCACTTTTCAAGTGAGCAGCAGGAGCAGCAACGGCTTCGGCAGCAGCAGGAACAGCAGCAGGGGCAGGGGCAGCAGCTGCGACGAGAGGGCAGCGGCGCGGATCTGCTTGTTCAGTGGCAGCAGGCCCCGCCGCCGCGGCCGGCGCCGGCTGGCACGGTCTAGCAGAAGGCCGCAGCAGGGCCGCAGCTGGAGCGTGCTGGCACCAGAGACGGGGTCGAAGCCATTCTGTGGGGCTCGCCGCGCGCGCCGACGAGAGCGGCCAGTGCACGCTGCTGCTGGCGCCCCGGGCTGACGTGACTGGCCTGGCGCGGCCGGCTGACGCCAGCCATGCCGGCGGCCGGCAGCTGGCGGCGGTTGGTCGGGGCTCCGCGGCAGCCTGGGGCTTGAGTCACGAGACAGCTTTTGCTGCGGCCTCATATGCGAGAAAGGCGGCAGCATTTTGCTTGCGTGCAGTGCGCATGCCGCCTTGCCACCCCTTGCAGCGTTTACAATTGCTTATGATGCATTATAGTCCATTTTTCCATGATTTTGACTGCCATGTGATGTTCCAACCTGCACATGCAGTACGGTATCCCGTTGTGCTGTCTTTCTAGGCACACCCCACCATATGCTGTGGATGCCGCCTGGCCACTAAACCCTGGCATGTACACATTTGAGGTAGCCGCAAGCGCTGTCCATGAGGCACGAAGCCGGGGTCACTGTCCGAGCCCCCGCTTTGCTGTCCCCTTGCAACCAACCCCCATTCTGCGGTCCGAGTCACACCCTTAAAACCCAATGGAGATTTTCCAAGGGCATGTGGGCTGCACACCGTGTGGAGCCATGGAAGCCGCTCTGCCTTGATGTTAACGCAGCGGCAACGCCTCCCATGAGGCGTCGCCGCCCTCTCTCTGCCCCGCTGGCAGGCCGAGGCGCGCCGCAAGGCGAGCCCCGCTGCAAACCGCCCTGCTGGGGCTGCTTCGGGGTCGCCCGCCAGCAGGTACGGGTGCAGGGGCAGGCTAAACGGCTCCTCTCTCTATGCTGTAAACGTGCCCCCCAAGCATGGCGCGCAAGGACGGGCGTAGAGGGGTGGGGCACCGCCCCAGACTGGCGGGGCGCTAGCAGCGGAGCGCTCAGCGCCTGTCTGCGATGGGTGCAACGCGGCCAGGCGCAACGCCGCCCGGGTAACGCTGCTGCCATCACCGGCAGGTGGCCTGCCTGCCGTGTTGCCCGCAGTGGTTTAGTCATGGGGTGCGGCGAGGGCGTCAGCTATCATAACAGTCAGGACGAGGATGAGCGATGTTGGCCACGCACGGCGCCTCGCAGGAGGTATTACGTGAGGCAACGTTAATTGTTGGGGACCTAATCGTCTTAGCCAAGGGATGCTGGCGGTGTGGGCGACGCGCCAAAGTGCCCAGAGCGAGGATTGCCCATGGGCCAAAAAGTGGACCGACGAATGGTCGGTCGGCGCGAAGAACCGCCGTTGGCCGCGCTGCTCGGCCTTTGAAGCCATTCGGTGCATATATGTTGTTGAAACTAAGAATGGACTACCGCAAACCAAAAAGCGGCGACCACATGCGAAGATTGCGTTGGGCCAGCACCGCCTTTGGGATGACGCGCGGAGGGGACTTTGGCGCCTGGACGCGCTGAGAGCAACTCATTAAACTGTCTTGAGGTGAATGTCGGGGTCAGGGAGCGCGAAACGCTGGCCCGCGGCCATCACCTGGGGGCTTGCTTTCGCTTTTGTTAGAGCCGTGCACGGCCCTAGCGCCAGCCAACACTGCTGTTTAACAGGATAAGGGTCCACATCAACGTCGTTCGTGTTCACGCAGGGGGCGCCGAACTTTGCGAGGTGCACTGCAGCATGCAGGCCCGCGAGGCAGGATCGGGCGCGCTGGACGCGCATCCCTGCGGCGGCGCTGAGTGGCAACCTAGCGGCGGGGCCGCGGCAGGCCCAGAATATGCAAACACGGCTTGGAGCGGGCCCGGCGAGCTCTTGCCGGCGGCCCCGGGCGCCGCGTGCGCTGAGGCTGCGAGCGGTCTTGGGGCCCCCCATGCGGCCGCCCTGATCGACACGGGCGGCCCCGGCCACCACGGCTACCCGGCCCAGCCTCAGGGCCCCCCCGCCGCGCTGGCGGCGGCGCTGCAGCAGCTGTACGCCAGCGGCGCGATCGGGCTGATCGGCGCGCTGGGCGGCAGCGCAGCCGCGGCCGCGGCTGCGGGCGCGGCGCGCCAGCCCAGCACGAGCGCCAGCGGCGGCAGCAACGCGTCGCACTTTGCGCTGGCGCTGCCCCACCGGGTCCTTCGCCCGACGCACCTGCAGGCTCAGCCACACCCGTCGGCCTCGCAGTTACCCCAATACGAGTATCACGCCAGCCACAGCATGTTCATCCACGGCGGCTGCGCCTTTTCGCGCCCAGCGGCGCCCGCGCCCGCACCGCACCAGGCCCCGCAGCCGCAGCCGCAACCAGAGGCTGCTGCAGCCGCCACCGCTGCTTCGGGCGGCCAGCAGAGCGGGGGCGGCAAGCGCGCCGCGCCCGAGCCCGCTGCTGACGCTGATGGCAGCGGGGGGACCGGCGGCAGCGGTGGCAGCGGAGGCAGGGAGGGCAGCGGGGGCAGCGGGGCGGACGTGTCTCGACCAAGCCAGGACGGCGGCTCCAACACGCCGGGGCCGGACGCCTCGTCCCTGGCAGTCCACGCGCTGCCTGCTGACCTGGCGCACCTGCGCAAGCGGATCAAGATCATCCAGCCAATCTCATCCGCCTGGCAGGAGGAGGCGCTGAGGGCCAGCACCGGCGCGGGCGACGGCGCCGGCACCGTCGAAGGCGACGGCGGCAGCGGGAGCGGCAGCCGCGACGGC